TGAAACTAACAATAGCAGTCATAAGCGTGGCATTTTCAGCATATCGGTATAATTTTTCTCCAGTAAAATTACTGGAAGTCTGCTTATGACTGCCGTCTTTCAAAATTCATTGTTTTCTTGAAATGCCCATGAATGGTTTACGTCTTTTTGTGTTTTCGTCGGTTACTCAAATTCATAGGCACCGGACAAGTCATGAGCCCGCTGCTTAATTGACGATGACGTTTTACTGATAGAAGCCAACAGGCGAGTTCCAGGTAGTAGTTTAGAAGACGAAGATGTGATCACTGGAGCAAGAAATGTATTGGCCTGACGTTTCGGCTTTTCGCTCGAATCCATCATCAAACACAGTCGCTGATAAAGGTGATGGTGGCACAAGGAGGGTAGTATTTATAGCACATGGCTGCTGTGAGAATCCGAAACGTCAGACCAATAAATGTCTTGTTCGAATCTTCGACTTCTGATGAAGTTTTGTTTTGAAAATCGGCATGGATAGATTGTGTGCACAGTCAACCGATGACCAGTTTTCTGAACTTCCCGGTTTCAAAATGAACCATCGGCAGACACTTCCGTTTAAAATCCCGAGATGGTGGCCCTGATAAATGTAGGGTTTGTTTTCGTTAATGGATTGAAAGAAATCACGGTGGTTTAGGAGGCGAGTCCATATGTTTGCTCGAAGTCTTCAAAAATATGTTCTTGTACTGAAGGCCTCGCTGTTAGTGGTTGTCAGGCTTGATGGATTTCTGGAGAAGGCCACATGGAATGCATCAGGCAGAGTCGTGGAAAAATATACTTTCAATGCTGTCTGCTCTTTTCGGAAAGAGGCATAGATTTCGAATGCATTATATAAAGGGCCACAAATATATGCCCTGAAAGAAGATCAAACTACTGATACACACCTCAAATAGGCAACTAAATTACCTTTCAATATGACGATTACGTGATCACGTGATAGCTTTTGCTGGCATGATATATTCAAACAGGTGCGTTATGTGACTTGCATTATGTCAACTTGCAGCAGAAATTGAGGTAAAAGTTTGTGGACAACTAGAATGTTGCGTATTTGACTAACTCACCGGGCACGTTTCAGAAAGCATCATTTGCTATTTGTGGGAAATATTTTCGAGCAGGCTATTTCCACATTATTTCAAAAGTCAAAGATACTCTGCATAAGGGCAATTTATTTTGTTAAGAATTAATTTAAGCTAAGTTTCTACTTCCAGACATTAAGCAAACAGTGATTTATTTGAAGTTCAAAAGTGAAGAAACCCGAAACAGTGTCAACTTTGCTGTAGCAAACGTAAAAAGACAATAAAATATCCGCCAGCAGATTTCCTGAGAATATCATTTCTAAAGAAAGAAATTGGTGACAGAAAGTTTTTACCTAACTCAATGACATATTCGTCGTCAAATATCATTAGAAAGGATAGAGTTTTGGCGTTGAGGTTCAATGCTTCAGTTGGTTTCTGAGTATAAACTAAATGGTATTTTGAACAAAAAAGAAACGCGCGAGAATTCCAGACGTATCCCATTTTGGAGTTACTTATCAGTACGCAGGACGAATTTAAAGTAGAATAATTATCTTGATACGCAAACATTGGGAGAAATTCGATTACATGTGCCATGCTTCTAGACCTTGTTATGCATATGCAATTATATTTACCAGTTATGTGAATGAACAAATTTTAAGAATTTTATAGACTTGAGCTTGCTCATTTTATAGTAATTTTCGTGTTTTTCTAATTTCGTTTTGATTAAATTTGATATCTCTCACAGACGATGTAGTAATGCAAATATTTGCTTTTCAGTTTCACTTAAATGGGTGTAGAAGATGAAGATGCGATCACTGGGACAAGACGTTTATTTGCCTGACGTTTCGGATTCTCACTCGAATCCATCATCAGAGACATTCGCAGATAGAGGTGAATGTGGCACCAGGAGTGCAGTATTTATAGCACGTGGCTGCCGNAAGTGGCTGTTCCAACGTCTCAAGTTTCTGACCTCCGATTCGAACACCACAGTCAGCTCGTCAACGCAATTCTTGGAGAAACTTAAAGGAGTAAGTCTCCTGCCAAGCGATATCATGGTTTCCTTTGATGTCACGTCCCTTTTTACTTCTATCCCGCAGGACCTGGCAGTCGAGACAATCGAACTACTCCTACGAGAGAAGTACGACGAAACGGAGAATCGCCTCGGACACGCCCAAATCATCCAGCTCCTGAAGTTCTGTCTCAAGACGTACTTTACATTCGACGGAACAATCTACGAGCAGGTGAAGGGAACGCCAATGGGTTCGCCGATTTCGGGACTCATAGCCGAGGCGGTCCTTCAACGGCTGGAGTCGCTGGTTTTCCGACACCACAGACCGAAATTCTGGGCTCGGTATGTGGATGACACCTTCGTCGTCATCGAACGGGATCAGGTGCTGACTTTCAAAGAACAACTCAACGCCGTCTTCCCGGACATTCAATTTACGATGGAGGAGGAGGAAAACAATCAGCTGGCCTTCCTGGATGTCCTCGTCTGCCGCAAAGATTGTGGTGGCCTAAAAACCAAAGTGTTCAGGAAAGCGACAAATACGACGCAAATACTGAACTTCAATAGCAACCACCCGATCAGTCACAAACGCAGTTGCGTAAGGGCGCTATACCGGCGTGTTGAGACGCACTGCAGTGAAATGGAAGACAAGGTTGCTGAATTACAATATCTTCGACGGGTAATGAGAGCCAATGGCTACCCGCGCAACTTTGTCAACCAGTGCATACGAAAAGGACACCAGAGACCAAATCCAACTAGCCCCAAATTTTGGCGGGCTCTTCCGTACGTGAAGAACGTCTCGGAAGCCGTCAGTCGTCTTCTCACTCCACTTGGAGTTGGGGTTGCACACAGGCCGGAAGCAACCATTAGGCGCCAAGTAATGAGGCCAAAAGACCCGCTGCCACGGCAGGAAACGTCTGGAGTCGTTTACCGGATCTGGTGTAGTTGCGGACAAAGCAATTATGTCGGAGAAACTGGGCGATTACTCCGTACGCGACTTGCCGAGCACGCAGCAGCAGTGAGGCGGGGAGACGCTAACTCTCAGGTGGCGGCACACTCGACGGGACCCGGCCATATTTTCAAATTTCAAAAGGCCGAAATCCTCGCAAGAGGTGACAACCGCGTGAGCCGCGAGCTGCTCGAGTCATGGTTCTCAGGCCCGCAATCCATTAACAAACACAATGACCTCCCGGTGCCCTATTGCGTATTGCGATTTTCCCTGGGCAGGAGAATCAGTCACGTGGGGAGGGCGCGGGTGAGCAATTATCACGGTGACAGTGAGCCAGTTTGCCGAGCAATCGTCACACCAGCATCGAGCACGGATGACGAAATCGCGGCAATTAACAACTCGGACTCGGACCGCCAAGCCACCGCCGCATCAATTACGACCCCAGCGGCGATTGTGAGAACTGTTAATTGCAGCGCGCATACGGTCCTACGGCAGCCACGTGCTATAAATACTGCACTCCTGGTGCCACATTCACCTCTATCTGCGAATGTCTCTGATGATGGATTCGAGTGAGAATCCGAAACTTCAGGCAAATAAACGTCTTGTCCCAGTGATCGCATCTTCATCTTCTGAACTGCTACCTGGGACTCGCCTGTTCGCTTCTATCAGCATTTTTAAATGGGTGTTTGATAGTATTAATTTGACGGTTGAAAATTGCTGGTTACCTGTGAACTGAAGACCTCTACTCATGTAGAACTTATCCTCCACGTTTATCGCCAAAAACAGCCGCAAGCGGAAACGCTGATCAGTTGGACCATTCGGAGCGAACAACTATAAGAATATCGCACACCGAGAACAGATCGTGATTGTTTTCTAAAATCCCGCGATTTTGAATTTTCCATCCTCCAATATGCCCCCTTTTTAACTGTCTGAAACATCCGGTATTCATTGGCTCAGAGGGTCATCTGACCTCACTGATGCATCTTCCAAACTCCTTTTCTCATACGGTCTCCATTTAAATCTCAACTCAGGAACAAGGTCTTCTTTCGTCAGCATGAAATGGCATCTGTGTGATTTTTTGGATTCAATTACATTATGTGAATAACGTTGTATGAAGAAAAGTAGACCTTATTTTGTAAAGGACGCTCAATTTTATAGTACATTTTCCTTAAAGTACGTATGCCAGACCTGAGATATTAAATTTTGCAGGTTCTTTCTGTAGAGCGTCATATTCACCTAAAGTACGCTAAGACTTTTCAAACTATCACTTGAGGCCGTAGCTCACGTATTTATGGCAGGCGTCCTGGTCGTCTTATCCAGTCATTTTCTGCAAACGGATATAGTGGGATGTTATGAAATCCTCTCTTCCACACCAGTTGAATTCCACAGTCCATGGCTGACTCGTTCTTCCTTTCTTATTACATGCATCCTCATTTCGAAAACGTGCCGCCAACATATTTTTTGAACAAACCGTTCCCACTCTTTTTTACCGTCCGCCATGGGCGAATTATGCATAAAAATAAATGGGAGTCGAGTAATGCGTTAAGGTAGCTGTTTTTAGGGTCGGACAACATGTTACAGTCTTTGAGAAGGTTTCACATCTCTTTATTCCTTAAAGCACCAGACTGGAACCTGGCATGAATCAGCGGAGTGGAAACACAACGAATGAAGACCGAAGAGGGTCAAAATTAAAAGGCGAAGGCTCTTCGGAAAGTCGAGTTGTACTCGTAAATTTTTCAGTTGGTAACACAAACCCGTCCTCAGAAGAAATGAGGAGAGAGGGGATGCAGATCTTCAGACTAGGTCGATTTGCAAGACAGAACAGACAACGACAGACAGACGCCTGTTGGGTGAGACGACTGGACGCCGATTTATGGTAAGCTTTGTGTTGGGGGGGAGGGAAGTGAGAACCGTTAGGGCTCTCTGTGTTGGTGATGGAGGAGGAGCTGGGAAATTGTCTTCCGCTAGGGGTGAGCACTGACCAGTCTGCGTGTACGTAAATTCTAGTAATGAGCCTCTAGATGGCCGTAGCCGTTGATACCGGTCGTGCCAGAATACCAAGCACGAGAGCTTCTACCGCCCATCTGCTGTTCGCTATTGTGACCACTTCCGTACCGTACCAATTTAAGCCGTGGTCACACGCAAGGGCGAAAGATAGAGATTTTTAAATAATTCCTATTGGCCAAACTGTGCAAAACTCAGCGCCTCGGTGGGATTCGAACCGGCGTAGTAAGAGGAAGGTTGTGGTACAGTCAACGCTCTAACCACTTGGACTACGAGCCCCCCCCCCCAACCCCGGACGACGCAAGTTTAATCACATCTGGGTCAAGTTACCCTCCTTACCTACTGCAACGTCTGGAATCCACCAAACTCGCGTCGTCCGGCGGGGCCTCGTAGCTCAAGTGGTTTGAACGTTGGCTGTACTAAAGCCTTCCCCTTACAGCGTGGGTTCGAATCCCACCGAGGCGCCGAGTTTTTCGCAATTAGGTCAATGTGAATTAGAGAGAGGAATGTTAATATTATTGCAGTCCGTGACAGCGATACTTGAAATTGCATGGTTTTAATCAAACGCTCAAATTTTGCTGTTGTCGAAAATGTTGTATGAACAGATAGTTAGCGTTATTCCAGATTTGGAACTGAAAAAAAGTAATTTTTCCAAAATGGCAGCTCTCGGCTGCCCATCTGCGCCAACTGTCACATTAAATTAGCCAAAATAGACTGTCTAACTAAACATCTGATTGGCAGAAGGTCACGACGCCCCATTGTCTTTGCTCGACTAGTCTGCGGCCTCCGCCTGAATTAACACAGCGGACAATTTTCACCAACGAATGACTCAAAATCTTTACCAGAGTTCGCGTAAGAATGAACTGTATCAGCAGTTCATTCAGATTCCTTCCATAACAAGTGCATCCTCTCACGTACAACAAACTGCTGTAGGTGAAAAATCATTGTCAGCTGTCGAGGCGCCGTAATTTATAAGCTTACCTATGGTCAATTAGCACGGTCAAATTTTTCTTTGAATTTTACTTCAGTAAGCATGGTTGTGTAATTTTGGAAACCGCCGCTGGTGACGAATAGAACTATTTGAACGATCTTCGTTTAATCGGAACGAAGACATATTGGTTAAGAATAAGCACTAGCAGTGCCCAGGGTGTGTTTCCCATGTGGCTCTCTGTAGATTCACAGGGATGTATTATCGAATACCTAACATGTAAGTGTCATTTGTAACCTGCATTCTCTGACCATGGAAAGGCCTATCATTCTAGTTTGTTGCAAATATTTTGCAAATACGCATATGTCTTGAAACTGCAAATGATCTCTCATATGCGACTCTTCCCTGGTATCGATGATATCATCAATATAAGGCTTTAAATTTTGATAAAGGTCCACTATGAGAAGTCGTAAAATTAACTCATTGCGTAGACCCTGTCGTGTCTTTGCTTCCTTTAATCACGCGAGCGATATTGTGCCCTAAAGTGCATTAAAAACGCACACAGCCAGTGGTATGGCTAAATGGGCGGAAATTATTTTGATACTTGGTAAACCGCATTTTGTTGTGGCGGAAATGACTACCACTGAATGGTCAATTTCAGTTTTGAATACATGGGGCATTAACTTTCGTGCTTTTTAGCCTATGTGCACACGTAATTTAGAAAAGAAATAAGCAAAACATTTACAGTTTCAGCAAAGTGTTAGCATTTATATGGCTAGGCTGACGGGCATTCATTGTCGCAGAACGCAACCTACAGGCCAGTGAAAACTTTTAAATTTGACGCTTTATAAAGGGAAAAGTATGTTCTTAAGTTTGCAATAAAAATCTATCAATAATATTTAGCAACACGAAAGAAACGCCCAAGAGTGTCGAACTTTTGTCATGGCTTCTCTATGGTAAACAATTAAAGTACACAGACATCCTTCAACAGAATGCAGCATTAATGCACTGTTTAAAAAGGATGGCTTATAAGAGAATAATGATTTTAAATTTATCGGAAGCATATTCCATATTGACTTCTGTTGTGTACGTTCATTTTTTCAACGACGAGGTCACCTGTTTGAGCCAGTCATAAAGCGTGACCAAAACGACGTTCGACATTAAAACAAACGCCTAGATAAACATACCTTCGACAATTCCCTTCGGAAAGCATTTTTTTAAATATTATTACAAACGATTAACACAAAAACACTCTTTGCGAATAATCCAAAGATAACACTGAAATTCACGGAACATTCATAGATATTTCAAGGTCAATCTGAAACTCAACGTAATCAAGAAAATCGTGAAGTGAACATTAATTTTACGGATAAAAATTCCATTTTAATACATACAAGTTATATATTTACGGTCAGTTCAAATGCATAAACTACGCCACGAGTCCTCTGAATACTGTTTTGAAATTTATACATAGAATGTAGGCTGTTGGCAAACGCCGTGCTTGCAATTTAACTGATTCTTAAGGGAAGTATAAAAGCACACTTCATTAAAAGATCAGTTTCTGAAGTTATTCTATTCGTGCTTTCGTTTTTTCGTAGCATTCAGCATGAGCAGACCTTATGCACACTTTCGTCGGAAGTTTACTAAATTACAACCATTTTTGACCTTTTAGGCTATTCAGCCTTTCTCAAAACGATGGCATTTCTAAACCACGTGACATTAACATTTCTTTTATATTTTGAATTCTCCTAAAGCTGTTGACCATTAAGGGAGATATTAGGTACACACATTGCTGTCGATTTGCGAGTGATGAGCAACCATTCGTCCCTTTCAACGCCCCTCATGATTTATCTGATCCTTCTTCAGGTGTCCTCCAAGAAATGCACATAGTCTGAATGTAAGGAAGGGTTTATTAGTTACTCGCTTAATTTGCCCTGTCCAACGCTGTGACGTACAAGATTGGATTTAGTAGGCGTCTCAAAAATCTCTTTCACTCGTAATTTAAGAAGTTCTTAACCAGAGGTTAGTGCCTGCAGTCCGCATACAAAAAACCACATAGACACGCTGTCATATGCAACATCAAAAACAATGGTGAAAATACCCGTCTGGAAGTTTGTTTAGTATCAATATCGGAAGGAAATGTGGACTACCGAGTTCTAGCCACTGGCGAATTCTCCTGACGGGTCAACAACAAAATAGACGTTCATAATTTACGAACTTGGCTATCTAGACTGCCCTCACGCAGAGATAGGGACAATCGAACAGCCAAGGTCACGAATACTAGCTAATCATTCAGATATGCGTTTCGTAGATGCTTCCGTCTGATGTAAATGCAAGGGGTTACAAAGCATCACCGCGTCTCTCCAACGTTCCCGTGTTTTTTCTTGCATGTCCGCATATTAGTTGATTAACGTTGGGCTTTCCTTAATTTTATCGGAGAGTAATGATAATGCGTAAATCAACGTCATGACAACAAGTCTTATCAAATTCTGTCCGCAAGTCGATGCCAGTGTCTAGAGCTAACCCCACCAGTATTGGTTAACTAACGGAGTAGCATTCGCAATCGGCCAACAGACAGCCCGTCGTGTATATATGGACACTTGAACGGAATAATTGCCCACTGAGCAATTTATGACAAGCG